CATTAAGTATTACGACACAGCAACACTAGCCTAGTGTACAGGCCAGACTACTCTGGTCCTCTCATGAGACTTGTGTTATAAACAAGCCAATGATATTACAACTGGATGTCACCTTAGAAAGGAGGAACAAAGGGAAGCAAGGTCACTATTGGTTTAACTGCCTCTACATTGCCATGCATCAAGACAGATGAAACGGCCAATTTTGCCTGACTAGACAGCAAATGTAGAACTGGCAATGAGCTGAAGCTACTACTATGTTTGCTCTGAAAAACTAATGAAGCCTTTGTCAAGGCTCCTCACCAGATGTGGGAGATACTGCACACAGATTTTGTCATAGTGTGATAGTCAGCTTGGCTTTAAAAGGGCTGGTTGGATCTTGATATGTGCTCACCAAGATAGAAGGGAGAGAGGTGGAATTCTTTTTTGTTACAGGAGTGGTCAGGACACTGGTAGACATCACCATGTATAAGGCATTCTAAGTGATGCCACCACATTGGACAATTAACACTGTCCTCATCAAGGCAATGGCAGCAGCCTAGATGTGACAGGAGAATCACATTTTTAACTACATGTTTCCCATGAGTCACAGCGTGAAAGTAGTGGTGAGCAATGTAGGTTCTGGTATAGGAATTCTGGGAATGGTCATATTGTGAAACAGTTGTGCTTCCATTAGAAAACTATCCAAGAATCAACCCAAAACAGTGGACAACATGAGTGTACATGGAGAAATAAGTCCCAATAACTACATGTACACAGGCCGTATTCTATTTTTTACTAAAGATGTCAAGTGTGTTGGCACCATGGAATGTAGCTGTATAAATATCACAAAATGAACCATTTCTTGTCCAGAAAGCAGGCAGCATTGGCGTGGACAGTTATCTGTCTGAATAGGATGTACTTCTAGTGACGGCCTGTAATTATGGGCAGATTGCTATCCAGCTTTTTATTGAAATGATTATTGGAACAGTGAGTAAAGCAAAAGTTGCCGACTCGGCTTCCAACTCTTCTGACGCAATACAGAAGATTGTACAAGCAATCTGGGTCCCACTCAAGGGCTCTTACCCAATAACTGGTTACTTATAAATGTTGATGTATTTGTTGGACCAGATGACTAATTGTGTCAAACAGAAATCACTTATGACCACATAGGATCTGGGGATTTTGTCCAATTAAACAACCACTGCATAGGCTTCCCTGAATCACTAGGAATACAACCAGAACAAAAAAATGTTGAAGGATGCACATCACCACTGGTGACTGACAGAAAGACAACATACACAGGCAGACTATGTTGATTTTCAATGGATGAACACTGTAACACATGGCAATGCCTTCCTGTTAACACAGACAGATGATTGTCTGGATATGTTGAAAGTTTCCCAATGGAAACAATGTCTCGTCTATGTAAATGAGATTTTGGTGTTTATTTGAACATTTGAGTTACCTTTTCTAACTAGCAGAGGATAGTGATGGCCACTTTGAATTCGAAAACTGGGAAGTGTGCACTAATGTGTCTCAATAAACCTTGCAAAGCTCATAACAGTTAGAGACTGGCCTCAACACATGACACAAGAAGAAGTAAAAACAAGTCTGAGTTTAGCTTCATATTATGAACACATTGTGGCCAATTTCTTCAAGATAGTCTCACAACTTCTGCTCTCACTAAATAAAACACGTATTATAGGTGGACTGAGGAACATGAGTTAGCAATCATGTCCCTGAAGTGTGCAAGAACTCCCATGCTAGCATATCCATGAATTGACTGTGAATTCTTGTTGAATACAAACACAAGTGATAATGGAATCAGTGCAATGCTTTCACTGTTGTAGGATGGATTTGAGCATATAATAGCATATGAAAGGTGTACACTTATGGCAGACACTGTTACAACAAAGATCTGCTTGCAGTGGTGGTTTTAATATAGCACTTCTGACATTACTCCTACACCAGAAAGTTCACTTTTTGGGTGGACCACTCATTGTTAAATTAACTTTAAGAACCCTGAAGGGATGATAGCACATGGGATTGCATCACTGCAAGAGTACAGATCATCAGCCATGAGGCAGCACACAAATGTTGATGGACTGTCTTACTCTAGAGTAATCCTGTCTATTTGTTGAATGTTCTGATTCAGGACACTGCATGAAAGTGAAAGCAATTTTTGTTACTGCAAGCCTACCAGTAATGGATTCTAATATGAATTGGATGTCATGATTAAACCTCTAGGTAGAGCAATTGAGAGTCCCCAAGCTATAAAAGTAGGTCCTTGTCACGCAGTAAGTGTGAGCAATACAGACTGAATATCATAGCATGGATACACACCACCTGTGACACTTGTATCAGCAGTTATATGGTTCCCAACCTATGCTGCACCTAATGGTTCCAAGATCTTTCACACATCCTGCGATACAGTAATATGTGGAATGGCTCCAAACTGTCATGAGTTTGTACATCAACAGTTGAGAAAGGCCACTGAATTGCAGTTATGACAAAACAGTCAGAGCATCGATTCTAGTGTAAAGACTGGGTTTCATATGTGCCCTTGGCATGGAATCTACTCAACAGTGGTTTGCTAGTCAACACCTGGTACTCCAACAAATTAATTCATTTCCATATGAAATATAGTGTTCTCATAGTGCATGTGGAACACATTGACAAACCATACACTACTGGTGTAACCAGGGTCAAAGGATGATAAGAGTGGTCTGTTCTATCATCTAGCTTGGCTGATGAGGAAGGAGTGGAGGATACTTATCTGGCAGTGCACGAGCCAAATGAGTGAGCTATTGGGCACCTTTGTCTAAAGTTTCATGAGAAATGCTAATGATCTAGCTGAGTGCTGAAAGTTCTCAGAATCATCTGTGGAATGTTTGCAATAGTCCCTCATTACACCATAATATGTATAACACCTCCATGCATAGACAGTGGGACTTGGGCTTTCAGTCAACACAAAATATAAACCAACATACAATGAATTTGAAAGGAGTAGCTCTTATTTATTTGGATTTGCCTGCATTCATTTTTCTGTGGTACTAACTATAACGTGTTTGGTGATACGATGTTCACTGGTTTGGCTACTGGTGTTGGTAGCCATCTAAAACAGTAAACGTCCTTTACTGTGTACTTTTGTGTTTAGCTCAGGTTATTAGCAGTAAAATGTGACTGATATACAGTACTGCCTCATTATAACGCCATCAATTATAATGCTTTCTCAGATATAATGCTGTGGTACCTTGGCTCCCAAAAGTTTAGTATCATCTACTGCTTAGCTCATTGCCACATGGCTTTAGAGGATAAAGTCATTACACTCTGTCACAAAATAAATGGAAAAAAAAGAGAAGTCCCTGAGAGCAAAGCCCAGAAACTTGAATACCTAGTTCAGATGTAAACTTGATATTGGAAATTTAGGTAAGAAAGGAATTTGGAAATGTGACTTGATTCTCAAAATAGCGAGAAAGTGTCATCGATATAGCTTTTGTAAATGACAGGTTTAAAGTCACATGGGTAGTTTTCTAGCCACTTGCATTCATGGTAGCATAGAAGACTATTGGCTGTTGTTGGTCCCAGCAGGGATTCCAACTATCAGGTCATAAGTGACGTCATTAAAGAGGAAATGGTTTAACTTTGTCGAGAGGGCAAGAAGTTCCAAGAATTGTTTACAGGTGAAACCAAGATATTGCTCAGTGGCAGAAGGAGATAGAGATGTCATGTCATTAATTGCAGCAGGTTTAGAGTAGTATTAAGCCTGCTCACTTTTGGTGTGATTTTAATTATCCAATGAAAATGTGATTGTTTTTAAGATGACTGTTTTAGCCAATTATATTCTTTCTCCTATAAACCGCCTGTCTCTACCATATAACTATAAGATAATAAGCTCATTACACATTCTTAGAATTTACATCAAAAAGAAATAATGTACATTAAAAAAATCAAAATGTCCACACTTACCGGCATGTCATCAGTATTGAGGAAGAGGAAAGCCTATTCAACATCTGAGAAACTTGCAATATTGATGAAATAAAGAAAAGAAGCCAAAAAAGTTTTTTATCAAAAGAATGTAAATAAACAATTATTTTGTTTAATCGATTGCTTTATTAGTATGTTGAATCCGTAATTGTTCAGCATGAGTGCCTTCTTGACTAGTTGATTATAACATTCCCCACCTATATCGATCCTGGGTGCACATGGTTCTCGATGGTAGTATTGTAATGAGACAGTACTGTACAACAATGTTAACCCTGGGCAGGGAAATATTTGGCTAAAAAATCTTAGTTTAGGCAAATTCTACTGGGTTTATTTTGTAATAAGTGAAAATAGATTTTCCAAACTTACAGATGGTGGCATATTAACACATTGTAAATTTTGAGATGTAGTTCATAGGAGAGTTGTTTATCATAGTAATGGAGCATAACACCAGAGACAATCTATCTACAGCTACTACAGTATGTGACAATTTATATTGTGTATATGTGAGTAGAGTTACATGTGTGTGTGGAACATTACACAGAATCAATCCCAAATGTTGAATAACACAAGTGAATCAATTATCAACAAGTGGGAAACATTTCAGTGAAGGAAATTTATTTGGTCAGGACATTAAGATAAAAAAAAAGAGGTAAATGATGGTGGTAGGCCTATAAAGCATTGTTTGAAGATAAAGCAAACCACTGATTTTTTTATTAATGTGTAAAAATGTTTCAGCTTTGACACTGAAGTGTTTGAAAGGTAGTGAATATTCATGGAACTGAAAAAAAAGTAACACTAAGAATAACACTGATAACTGAAAAACACAGTTTGACTTGTTATTTTGCTAATAGATTTTCAAATGGATCTAATTGAATAGTCTGAGAGAAGGTGAAACTGTATGAAATGAAATACTTCACAATATCAGGTTTCATACCAAACTTAAAACTTTGTGTATTGAATGTTTTATTCAGTTGTGAATAAATGTTTTAACTGTTCTTGATAAATGCAGTTTAATGAATATTTTAATATTTCAGTGCATGTCACACTTATGATGCACAGAATGCAGACTGCACTAGAGACAAGAAGCAACATTTGTGTGGCATTACTTTGTGTTTGTCTCCAAACAGGCCAACCAGTATCTGAAAGGAGTCAAAAAGGAAAACAGTATGTTAGTATTTCCAAATTCCATGATCAGAGAATCAAGGTTGACACACACTCTAGTTAGTTACTTATGTTTGTACGTACCAGAGTTTACAGTTTCACTACTCATTTCTTTTCAACTTGATCTAGCCTCTTTTGTATAACAGCCATACAATAATGAGAGCTATGTGGCTGGGTTCTAGGATAGTTGTGGACTGCGATCACGGTAATAATCTTTGAGTGCACAGCTAAATTGTGGTCAAGTGCAAAACCAGTTGAAGCCTGAGTGAACAGGGACATCCAAAGTTGATAAGGATACATAATCTACATGTGAATACAAATAAGCCAGTAGAAATTACACTTGACCACAGCAGTAGTGTTAACTTTACTACTAAAGAGAATTTTAGGTCAGTTTTGTTGTAACCAGTCTGCTTTAACCTTAATCTACACTTCTAACCAAGTTTTCTCACCAAACAGAATTCATTTCAAATCTTTTGTACCACTGATCTGGAATCTGAAATGGATATTATAAGAACATAGATAAAAGAGAAATATTTACAATTGACATGACTTTCATTATAAAATATTATGCGTATTAGAAATATTTTTTGCGAAGAAAAGATAAGGATACACTGTTTCAAGTTGGTAGAATAGTGATTAATGTGTGAGATTTAATTTTTGACATTATAGTTGCTACAAGAAACTATAAGTGAGACTGAAGCATGCAATATATACTGTTCATTGTAGTTACAAATGGGTACTGTTATGAATCAATCAATGGACGTGTTTATTAATTTAACATCTTGGCCATGATCTACTTTTAACTTATACACAATCAAGATATTCTTTGTAACCCATTATGTCACAAGGAGCTAGAATTATACAATTAAATCTATACATATAAAGATGAAATGTATGTTTGCACCCTAACTCTGAGCCTATTGGGCCAATCTCAACCAAAACTTGTATGTAAACAGTATGGGGGAGGGGGGTCAAAACTGAACTTAACACTATTTGTATTTTGTAAAACTTGTTGGTTAATTACTCCCAGCCTATTAAGTCAATCTCAAACAATCTTGGTAGGTTGATGCTTTAGACAATGTTGAATATTCTAAAGGGATTCAAAGTCAAAGTATGAAAGTTGCTGGATTGTTTCACAAACAACCATGCTTTTCTCAATGATATGTAGGGTGTTCAAGGATGAGATCATCTCAAAATCTTTATTTGTTGGTAGATGGAAAGCAAACTGCAAATGTTGTTTATGAAGAAGCTTTGTTATAATTTTAAATTTTTGAGGTAAAGTTTATATTCAAGTAATTGCTTTGAAATATATGATTGCTGTTAAACTTAGTGTTTTAAATAAGTTTACACATTCCCCGTCAATTGATGGGTATTTCGGCTTGTATTACATAACTACAAACCCTGAATGTTTTATTACAGATTTTTTTTAGTTCAATATGATAAGTAACTTATATTAAAAAGTAACAATGTGTAAGATATTTAGAAAAATGGATAATAAAGTTTTTAATGTCTTATGATAGTTGTTTATTTCAATACTCTACTCTTGGTAAATAATTCTGTCCCACTCAACACATTCTGCAAGGGAAGTTAGTGAGTAACTTACATACTTAGACTTGCCATGCAAGTAGAAATATAGATGCAACTGAAAACATTTTTATGTTAATTGTGTTAATTGTTTTTAATCTTTATCCCACTTTAGTGACTTTAACAGACTATTACTACTATTACACAAAAGCTTATTATAAAGCTGGTATTCAAAGTTCTCTATTCATGCTACAAGTGAAACTCACAAACATCCATATTATCAAGTCATTTTACGCTTCAATCAATGACAAAGAAATGGAAACTACCTTATTTTTCAACTAATCAATAAATGCCTTAAACAGAGTGGATTATTGCAAACCCACAGTTTTAGTTATGTATCCATCATAAAAAGAAAAATTAAACTATTTTTAGTCTGAAATATTCAAAGATGTTTCTCAACACATGATTAAAATAACTGCTTCACACTTCTTTATTTCTTGAAAACAAAACAATTCCTTTTTAAAAAATAACTTATTAATTGCTATTTGGTCTTCTTCTACCAAAAGTAGCAACAACATATACAGAATGACGATTGTACTGCATACACTGCTTAGCTTTTCCATATTTGGCCTATTTCTTTTCCTGCTTTTCCACCTGTAAAACTCCAGATTGTTTCAAGTTTAACTTGTATGATTAAAATATTTAGTGGTTTGGGGTTGATTCACTTTGAAGATAAGAGTACTTCTAAATTGTCAAACTTTTTATAACTTCAATTTCTCATTTTGTTTTCAAGGATGTGTGTAAAACTAAGAACTAATTAAGTATACAAGTAAAATTCTGTATGATAAATTAAATACAATTTTTAAAATTATATTGTACTGTTACGTCTGTGTTCGTTTGTTAATTTTCCATGGAAATTCTTTTCGAGAAACTTCTGCGATACAAGTCCTTTCTTAAATAAAACTAGTTTATTCTTTCTCAATTCCACTTTGCAGTACACTTAATTTCCACAGTCACTTTAACTTAAACACATGCTATAATTCACAACGATTCACACACTTTACTTATGGTGCATGCTTGACTCGATTATCCGTGTCTATATCTTCAGTCTCTCTATCTGCAACTATCTTCTCGCCATCACTTTATTTGCCGGCTTATATACTATAAAAGCGTACATCTCATCTCTTCGTGAATCTTCTAGATACTC